GTACCGGGGTGCCCAGTCGATTCGGACCATGTCGCCTCCACCAAGGTCTTGGAGGCCATATGGGAGATGCAGCCGTATCACGCGGTAGAGTTATAATATTTCGACCAATGCCTAGCGGGAGTGGAGTTAGCGGCGGAGGGTCAGGTGGAGGCCATTCCGGCAAACGCGTTGTTCGACCTCCAAACACGGATCGAAATCCAATTGCCTGCAGAGCGAGAGGATGTGGCTGACGACGAACCGGAGCGGCTGAATTAGACTGATCATCAACTCGAGGAAGTGATCGGGACAAACGGCGTGGTCGTGAGTCACGTATACGACTGGTCTCTTCGTCGAGTTCTTCGATCTGAACACTTGGAAAACTGAATGATCGAGCCAGACAAGATTTTTGGTGATCAGATATCATCGGTGCCTGGGAATGGTCACAACCCATGAGCAACCCGGAGCACTAGAAAACATTCTGTATTTCTTCTTCACTATCTATTTTGTATTGTTAAAATTGAGGATGATTTATGAGGGATAGATAAAATCCAGTCTCCGGCTGTCCAACACTGGTTGAGATTTGAATGCGTCCAATCAATTTAACTTAAGGTTATTTGTTCACGTGACGAATAACAGTAACGTGACAACTGTTTATCTCATGAGTTTAATCCAATAAATCTACAGCCAGAGGGAATGTCACGGCAGTCCTCACGTGACGCCTTTTAGAAGTTGATGTTCCTAACTCAGCATAGTCCACAAAGCATTTCGTTCATCTAACTTATCTAGATTCCTTTCCTCAGCTTTGTTGAAATAGACTTATGCAGTTTTGAAAAGTTCATCAAACATTTATCCGTTTAATACCTACAGATAATAAGTTCAGTTGCTTCATTATTGACTTCAGAGGTCTTAGAGCTACGTGGCTGATACCTGGAAGCTATGAGCTTGTTCATTTATAACGATTGCCGAGTGACGCGAGACAATCTGACTGACAGCGAATGACTTTTGGAACACCCAGCGGGCAAGCAAATTCGCTTCGCATATGAAATTGGGCGGAAAAGAATGGAATTTCACCCATCTTCATATTCTGTCAGTTGAATAACACCCCATCCCCCACCCCCGGATCAAAGACTCGTCGTTGTGTACTCCGTGTAGTGACAGGATCACGGAATTTGATGCAGGAACATTCTAACTAGATCTAGGGTATAGCGTATGGTAGATTGAAGACATCGTCCAGGACACGAAGTACGACATGAACTGGTGATTTTTTGAATGTGATAAACTGGAGCTCAATTTCGTAAAACTGGATTTCATTTGCCGGATAACGACATAATTAGAATTTTTCCCATGTAGATATATCAACTTAAGGAGCATAATGAAAACAGAGAATCTTTACCGCACAATAATACGCGATATTTCACTAAATTCCTCTGTTATTCTTCAAGTTAGATCGATGTGAGTTGGCCAAAAAGCCACAAGCAAACTGCGGTGACCGATGAATTAGACCCGCAATCATGGTGTCTGGGATTTTATAAGCGAAGTATTTTCTTTGTTCCAGGTCCGATAACCACGAACCACATGTTGTTCTTCCGTTTCCATGATCTCAAATACAGTTTACTACCTTGGTAATTAGGGTTCAACTACCGTATGCAACGTGGATATTGAACAATACTGTACGACTGAATATCACTTAACACATCTAAGGTATAAACGATGAATCTGACTTGACGAGCTACGAAGTGCACTTTTTAGCATCATCCGGTGTCGGGTTAATCGAATCTTGAACCTATAGAGACACTTTTTTAGGATAACTAAGTTTA